CCTCTTTCGCTTTTATTTGAGCAAGGGCATCGAACTTGTCCCAAGATCAGCGCTTCGCTTACTTGCGTCCCTTGGCGGCAGAGGTATGCCATGTATTGACACCGTGTCCCGTCTGCTGGCTTTTTGCACCGTTTTGAGGGTGCACGTAGATAACACAGAGCCCCCTGCGCGTTCCCTCGCTCATTTTGTCTTGGTACCTTCTCGTCGTATGCTTGTCCCAAGCGCCTTGGGCAACCTATATATCCAAGTGCCGAGTCTACGCCCCCCTTCTACCAGGCGGCGGTGAGCCTCCGTGTTGAGCTGAAGCAGAGGTTCCCAGACCTTGCAGTGCACGGTATACCGCCTGCTCGCATTGTTGAGGAAGTCTGTGTGCAGCGGGTAATTGCCGAGAAGAAAAACCGGGCGACCACCTTTCCATGGCAGTCTTTGGGGTCCCGCCGTCTGCCTGGGCCCGTGTAGGGTGGGGGATACTGCCCACCAGACAACGTCTCCACCGATGGGGTATGGTCCTTGACCCCCGTTGCCCCAGCTGTGGGCACGTCAAGACTATATCGCATATCTTCGTTGCATGCCCAGTAGCGCAAACTTTCTGGCGGTCCATTCATCACGGTTTCCAAACCCTCCAGATTCAGCACTTCGTCCACCATAATCGGTGCCCTCAAGAATGAATCGCGCTTCTTCTCCTCGCGGTTGGCCAATCCGCCCTTTGGCAGAGCCGGTGTGTGGCGGTTGGCCAACAACGTCACACCAGAGCCATGTGGCCCTTCTTGTCACGTCTCCGCGGAGCCTTGTTGCGCTAGCTTGATGCGGAACTTTTCTGGTTGGGTGAGCGGGACTTCCTATGGAGGTGGTCTTTTCGCTACGTGACCCTTGTGAATGGGAACATTTCATCGCCTTTTTCGCCCTAACAGAAGTGTAAGCCACGGGCGCACCTGGGCGGGCCCGCCCCTCTAGGCAAATATTTTCTTCTGTAGCGTAATCGCACTTCCCTAGCCTCTGCCTCACAGCACTTCACGTCCTTCGAGACGCGAGTTTTGTCGATTCCTTAAGACTAAATGTACCGCTGACTCCTGCATGTAGAATGATGTATAAAATGTAATTAAAATGCATCTACACATGAACCGGGCGCTCGCTAGGACGTCAAAGACTGTAGCAGCGCCTGGTGGCGTTTGCCATGACAAGGGTCTATATTTTAAAGCTTCCACGGTGCTTCCGCAACGTGCATTCTACACCATCAAGATCGCCATTCTTTGCAGACGTTAGGTAGGAGCTTGATTTGAGAATGGGGGGACCTCATGGCACCTAAAGTCATTGGATCCTGGGAAAGTAACGCCAAGGTCGCCATCTTGGTCCGTGAAATGAGCAATTTCTCCTTGACCCTTCCGTTCTTGGTGTGCCGATCTAGGTTCACTGGTGACGGATAGCTTTATGGAATCGTTTTTTGTATACCTAGATTTTGCCAACCACACACCGGCGAAACAAGCGTACACCTTCGTACCACCACCAGATGCTGTGTCTGTGCTCGGAGGCACTGAAAAATAAGTTTACTGTATTTAAATACGCAAGAAGAACAATATAATTGTAAGAGATCTATAGAAATGGGCATGATTAATAAGTTGATTGCATACAGAGTGCCAAAAGCTCTTATATTGGCGAGGAACGCTTCCAGTACAACGATGCTCCATGGTGATCTTCGAGCGACTGGTTTAGAACGACCCTCTGGAAGCTCCGAAAATTTAAATGGACCAAGATGGCGATTCCCATGGCAACGTAGACTGATTAGCCGATCGCCTTGCGAGGTTTGGGTTGTCTGTATGTTAGTATCCGGATTAGTGTCGTGATGTAGGCGAGTTGGTCCATGGTAAACGGAAATAAACAGCGCGCAAAAAATACACAAGGACGAAAGGAAGGAGCGAACGACACAAGCGCGGTAAGTATCCATTTGTGTCCGGATAGCAGGTAGGGAAGGCAATGGCGTTACTTTCCAAGGATCCAGTAGCTTTAATGGCACCAAGTGAATACCTTGTGTACATCCGTGACCCGAACCAATTTTACAAATTTGTTCGGGTCACATATTTTCCTTTTTTTTTCTCGTGCTCGGCATAATAGTAGAAATGTAGGAATATTTTTGAAGGCAATGCTTGTTGCATATGTCACGTTTTGTCTTTCAAAGCTACGTGCACAAATTATCGGGTTTTCCTTTTTTTTTATTTTGTGATTTGTCGAGATATAGACATCATCTTTGTAAATGGGCATACAATCTATGAAATTATGCAATATCGATCCATCATCCTTGTGTTGTATCAGGAATTGCAACAGTGTGCATTCTGATATATGTTGTTGGTGTCAGTGTTACAGTAACGTTGTCTTAAGTGCACTCTAACTTGGAACCCGTCAAACTGCAAACATACAGCTTCTTAATGTGTTTGCATTAGTACCCACATTAAATGTAAAAGCTGACGGCGTCCATCTGTGGACAAAACAGTGCAAAGGAAAGCTCGTCGCGTAGAGAAGAGGAGAGTAGTGAAGGACAAAGGTGAGAGGGAGGCGATGTCACGGGCGAAATCCAATGCACGCGCAGGTGCTGGGGCGAGTCTGAACTTGCAAGAGTTCGGAGCGCATACGCCTCGGTTTGTGCTACAAAATGGAGTGCGAGCCAAGTACTTGCGCTGGTACAAGTAGGAGGCAAAAGAAGACGGATTGTGAGCGAAGGACACGGGCCTACCGAAACCGTTGAATAGCGAAAGCAGCGTCAGGTAGCGGATGCCGCTGCTAAGCGTGCAAGGCGTGCGAACGAGACAGCGCCTAGCTCGGCTGTCCTCAAAAAAATGTACACAACATAAAATGTCTTCTCCAATAAATATACACAGCATACGTGACGAAACACCCTTCCGAAAGAGATTTCCAAAAGAAACACCCAAAGCCAGAAAAAAAATTAAAGGAAGATGCGTTGGTGGATCTTTAGGGAATGCGTCATCATAACCCTTGGAAAACGCCAAACTCGTCCTACTTTGAGAAACGATAACACTAACCCCGTAACGAAGCCAAAAAAAGGCAGCAAAAAATAGAGAAAGCAAAAATGAAAGACAAAAAGAAAAGCCAAAAGAGAAAAGTAAAGGGGTCAGCATTACGTTTCCCAAAAGGGGACGTATGTGGCGTTTCCCAAGGTTCATGCCAACGCGTTTCCTAAGGATCCACCAAAGGATCTTCCTTTGGTGGATCAAAATCAAAACCAAACATCTTCCTTTAATTATTAAAAAAGAACTTTTTTTTTTTGCGCATTGTTTTTATTGGATCGCTGACGGAGGACCTAACAGGCTTTTAAATGTTTTCTGATTCTGCGACCGCCACAGAAGATACTAACCACCTAAGGGCAATACTGTTTTCAGCTTAAAGTTAGATTAACTGATTCGATTTCATTTCATATTTCATGATGGCGTGCCGTTGCCTCTGGCCGAAATACAGCACACTGTTTAGACATGAACAAAGCCAGCGTTGAACTTGCACTTGCATATTAACTGCAACCAATTAACGAGTGAACATTTTTTTATTGTAAGAAAGAAGGTGAACAAACCTTGCGTCATCTGGATCGTTTGTTTTGTACTTGCACATCAAGATCCCATGCTTTCCTCTTTCTTAGAGCGCAGCTCTTAGGCGCCCGTTTCCGGCTTGAGCGGCGTCGTTGCGCCGTCGGTGTAACTGCGCGTTGTATTATGGGACGTTTCCCATAAGGACGTCGTCACGAGGGTCACGAGTGACGTCACACGGCGCCTAAATATGGCGGGGAATTTTCACGCTAAATTTAGCAAGGAAATTTTCCCGCAAAATTCAGCGGGAAAATTTTTCCGAGAAATTTAGCTGGCAATTTTTCCCGCTAAATTTAGCGGGGACATTTCCCGCTAAACTTAGCGGGAAATTTTATCGCCAAATTTAGTGGGGAACTTTTCCCGCCAAGTTTAGCAGGGAAATGTTTCCGCCAAATTTAGCGGGGAAATTGTTTCGTTAAATTTAGTGGGCAGTTTTTTCCGCTATATTTCGCGAAAAATCTTCCCGCTAAATTTAGCAAAAACATTTCCGCTATTTTTGGCGGACAAATTTCACTCAATTTAGCGGGAAATTTTGCCGACAAACTTAGCGGGGAAATTTCCCCCCTAAATTTAGCAGGGGAATTCTCCTCCGTACCCTTCCCTCCCCTTCGTACCCTTCCCTCCTCCTCCTCAAGAGCGGCGCTCTAATTCCGCATTACAGATAATTGTAAACGTTTTTCATTTCTTTTTTTTTTTTTTTGCAGTCACTGGTTTTTACAAATAATCCCGTTAGCGGTACTGCTGGGTTTCGGTATGTGCACGGGGGTATGCGCACTTCTCGACAAAATATGTGTCTTTTTTTAAAAAAAGTTAACAAGCCACGTTAAAGAATTGTTTTTGTTACTGCAGCATCCACAGGAATGAACCAGTCAAGTTTTAAAAAAGGAGTCATATAAGTGCGCGTGTATTTTCTTCGATTATACGTTAAATGACAAGCAACAGGGTAACTTTTTTAAAAATAATTTTTCTCTTTCTTTAAAACGAGTTAACAATTTCTGCTCCCTGCGATTTGGCAAGATATAGCAGTTACGACAAAATAAAACAAAAACTGCCGTGCTTGTTAACCTGCGAATGACGGCTCTTGTATCTCGCTCGATAGTTTGTTTTCTTTTTTGTATTCGCCAACTGGTTTAATCATAATGTAAACTCTGACCAGCTCGCATGTACAATTTTGCTTCTTGCAGTGATTTATTCACTAGGTCGTTCAATTTACCGTGACGTCTTGCACCCAAAGCACAATAGACAGTTTTAGTAGATCGTTTTGATACCTCTGGATACCGATGCTTGATACTCCGCAGGCGCCCTTTCGCATGCATTGTACCTTTGGACAATCTACTAGAACTGTCTAATATCCGCGTGCAAACGCCATTTTACGGAGATGAAAACCGTTGCCGCTTTCTCTCCCACGTGCAGATATTCTACGGCACGACAGAATGTAGCCCGGTGATCACAGGTTCCAGGCCAGAGGGACCCATCGGCAAGTGGATACGAACGGTGGGCAAGCCACTCGGCCACGTCGAGGTAAAGCCGATGTCTGCATAACACATTTAGCTCATACCAGCTGGACAACGATTTCTGAAAGACATCTTCGGCTGGCGTTCCAGCCGAAGCAATATTATGGCATTTAATCATTCTACTGCATAACGGCGCAAGCACTGAAAAGCAACAGGATCGACGAGTTCAAAGGCTGATTTGAGGATTACGAGAACCGTCTCGACAGGTGTATAGAATCAGGCGGAGAGTACTAGGAAGGTGACTGAAATTCGAACGTGTAAAACAAATGCAAGAGTTTATAAAAATAAATCTCCGTTACGTTAAAAAGAGTAATCCGTAATCGTGTCATAGTTGACCAGCGGGGCGAATCAAGGTCTCTTTTGGCGTGCAGGTAAAAATTGTGGACAACGAGAATAGGGTGGTGCCACTAAACAACAGAGGCCAGCTGTGCGCCAGAGGTTACCTGGTTTTCTTGGGCTACTACAACAATGAGCAGAAAACCGAGGAAGAGGTTCAAAACGGCTGGTACTACACTGGGCAAGTGTTCCCTTCCTTGTCTCCGATTTGGAAGGGTTGGTAAAGAGGCGTTCGGCATTGTCCTTTCAAGGCGCAAGCTTAATCAGCGATTTCCAGAAATTCCACACAAAAATATACTGGCAAATTTTCCGCACCCCCCCGCCCGCTTTCCCCCTGACATATATTGGAGACTTTTAGTAGACCGTATTATCGATCTATGCTGCGCCAGCGAGAGCTCGTGCCGTCAATTGGAAGCATGGATTGAGCGCGCTCCCGCTGGGCACGCCTCACGGAACGTACGATCTACTAAGACCTTCGTTGAAAGAGTTTCCCACTCGCTGCCCCTGCCCGAAGTGTTGGCAGTTAAACGTTTATTGAACGGTGGGACGCTGGGCGGTTACTATATTTAATATAATCCCGCGGTTTTTTTTATTTTTTTTTTTTTGTAAAGTGTGGTGGCATGCAGCGTTTTGATTTAACTTCTCGGAGCATATAGACCAATTTGTCGCCCGCAGTATACACGACGACAATGACACCTCTGGCAGTCCTTCGAAAACTGTGTGTAGCGCGTTGCAAGTTCGGGAGGAAAGAGGTTAGACAACGCAAAACCCTAACCAAAAAAGAAAAAAAAAAGAATGTGAATAGTTTATTTAAATAAACGTTTTTACGGCATATTTTTATGTGTGTCACTATTTTATTGCATTTACGCGTAAGAATATAGACAAACAAATACATAAGGAAATTATACAAATATCGTCCAAATATTCTAGCGAATTTAGAACGACAGGATGCAGAATGATTATGTGTATACTTTCTTTGTATACATATTCGGTATACTTGTAGGGGTACAGAAATAAGACTCCGTACCTCGTAGTATGCCTATAGTGGTAAAAATTAAAATAAAATGCATTCAATCCCCCCCCCCCCCCCCAATTGTCTATGTAAAAAATGCACTTTAAAGGCATTTCATTTTACTTTATTCTAATCGCCGAGTATTTGTTTATCAATTTTCAGATAAAACTAGATGAGCGTCACTGCATGTTAGGCAGTGCTGTGAACAATTTATTATCTTTCAACTCAGTTCATATTTGTTTGCGTCTACTTGTTGTGGCATCACGCTTTTCGAAAATAAAATTCGATAGAGTTTAAAAGAGAAAAGTTAATAAATAGAAATAAGCTTTTAGGCCTTATAAAGACTCAATTTCTTGTTTAAAAAAATTGTCCCTTTGGATTAGAACAGCGGCGCATTGACGCAAGGCTGGTTCACACTGCCCCGTTTTCTTACGTTAGGTTACGAAATCTTACGTCTGTTCACGCCACAAGTAACCGGGACATGTGCGCTTCATATAAAGCGTGGCTACCAGTTTAAGGAGAGGGCCTTGCACACGTCATTCGGGACACGAATGTTTCGGTGACTTATGCGTAACGCAAAAAAACGGTGCTGTGGGAGCCAGTGTAAAGTGAACTCGACTGTGTTTCCAATTTATGTGCCAGCGAAGTCATAGCAACAAGCACGAACACGTTGCCTGATCGGTGCTTCCACTGCACGAGTGGGCCTGCTTTGCTGGACGCTGCAAGTCCGGACCTTAAAGACCCATACACAGAGTTGCATTTGAGTGGGTTTGTCTGCGCTGCGTCGAGAAATGTTTGCGAGTCACCGGCACATATGTGCTTCGTATAGAGCCTGCAATTCAATTCAAGGAGTATAGCACGCGGCATACGAAGCACGGATGTAGTGGTTTCTCGCAGTCGTAAAGCAGTCAAACTTACTCAGACGTGCTTAAAGGAGCTGTGCAACAATTTTTGTACTCTGCACAAATACCGCTTAAAACGGATCCCTAACGTTAATGACCTATGAAACAGGCGTTCGTTTTTCACCCCACGCAATAGAAGTCCCAGAAAAAAATTTAAGAAAAACGAGTTGCGTTCACCCCCTCAACTCGCAGCCAGAACAAGCGGTCACGTGATCAGGAGCCGATTATATGCCGCCAGTGTTGATCATGGCCACGCGCTGGGGTTGGCAAAGCGCAGGACACGCGCTGAGTTCCAGACATTGTTATGGCTCGGCTGTTGTCGTCGTTGCAGCGATTGGACACGGGTCACAACCCGAATGCTTCTCGAGCTAACAATTGTCACGAGCCCAAGTCGAGTGCCCACGCAATGCTCGGATCCAATCTATGAACCGCATTCAAATATCGTCACTTGGGTGTACTGCGATCCCCGAGTTACGTCATCAAATTTTGCAAAGGAGAGATTGAATGAAAATGATGGCTTTTGTCCTTGAAATTACACCGCAACAAAGGAGTTTCTTGGCCAATGGCGTTGCGTGTGAGTATCCTTGAGTCCCAGGTGTGCCAGTAAGCTCGTGTAGAGAGAAAAACATTCCAATTGAATATCGTTGCACAGCTCCTTTAAGCGCAACTGTGTGCATGAGCCTTTGCGTTCGCACTTAAAAAGGAACTTAGTGTAAGTTTTGTCTTCTGCCTTAAAGCGAGGGAAATCAAAAGAGACGATCAAATAAAAAAAAAGGCCGCCCCCTCCCCCCCCTCCCCTGCCCCCACGCCAGCTTCATTTTTTCCCCTAAACTTGCAAACAAAACTACAGCCTTAAACGGGGATAGCGCGGCGCCCACCATGCAGTTTCCATCACCACGGTTGCCCATGCCGACCATAATTTCTGGGTTTTATTTATTTATTTTTGATGGAACACTTTAGAGCTTAAGGCCACGGTCCCACTGAATGTGGCAGTTTAGGTACTTTTCGGCAGGCCATTACTCATCTCCTTTTAAATACTGTTTTTTGGGATTGATGTCATTTGAAAGGCAATGCAATACTCTTTCATTTGATATTATGTATGTGTTGGTTTTTACTGTTCATGCGCATTTGTAGCGTTGCGAATATGATGGCGCGGACCCTCACTTGCTCCGCTAGTTCATGTTTTATGAACGATCCATTAAAGATAGCAGGGTTCCAATATAGCAGTTTTGTTAAGATGATGTCGGAGCAGAATCTAACGATCCACTTTTTTGATATTTGCACTACTTTGTTTTTTTCATCCCTCCAAATATTGCCCTAAAATTGACATTTTTCCGCACAAATATGTTTTTAATGACAAGAGCTAGGGCAATGAAATTAGCTACAGATGTAGTGCTTATAATTGGTAATATGCAGAAAAAATTTAATGTTGTGTAAATTTTTTTTTGTTTAGATATTTTATATCAAACGTAGCACTTTTTTGTGCTTCGTGTCATGGTAGTTCAAATGCCGCTGAAGAAATAATTAAACTATGATAAAATCTTCTATAACATTTAGAGCTACAATGGTTGCCCAAGAGGTGGACGATGGCTTTTTTTCATTTTCAAAGTCATAACGCTCCAGGAGCTCTTCAAGCTTACCTGTTTTTGACGCATATCTGTTTTGGACATCAAACAGATTTATTGGCATTTAATAACATTTATAGTTTGGAATAGATATACATTGCGATGTATTAAATTTTCACAATGATATTGCTTTGGTTTCTTAATAGGTGTAGAGCTTAGCTAATTTTAAAAACAATTAAAAACTGTTTGGGTGTTTTGTTGCGCTACCTGGCGGATGGCAGACAAACTGCTGATTTCTAATGTTCAAAAAATTTCCGAGGGCGGCGTTGGCGTCTGTATCATCATCAATCTCCATGTCTTTTTACCCTCACATTTAAAAAATATATTGGAAGATTTACTATCGATAACTGAATGGTTTAAGTACTGGGTCAGGCTAATAAATCTAAGACCAATATTTACACAAGCGTAGCGTGATATAATGTGTTCATTATTCGATATGATTGAAATCAATAAACAATGAAGACGAAGAGGAAAAGAATACACCCGAGTTCACTTTATGCCTAGAGTCACTAAATGAGCCTTAAAGTATCGGCACTCCGTTCCCCAAAATTGTTTTGGGCGCCGCCATTTTGGGTCTTGCTCAGAGCAAACGCAACTGCCGAACATCGTGCTCTAAAAGTACGACTTCCTCAGCATTAGATGCGGTGCTAGGAAGCTGATGCAATATTGCAATGCTCTGTCGCGGGTTGTTTAAACATTTGTGAGGGAGGGAAAAGCGTTTCCTGTGATTTTAGATAAAGCTTCATATAACTGGCAACCATGATTTTAAGCCACAATATGGCCAAGTGTCGTTACTCTGAACCGTAGCTAATTTACTGGCACAAGCGGGAACAATGAAGAAGAGGCAGGTGTCAAAAGGTAGTGGCTTGTGGAATCCACGGGGCTTACGATATGGCCCCTCCAGGTATTACTGGGTGGAGCACTTCATGTGCCCTTTGCTTAGGGTGGAGCACGACATCTGGCCATTTTGTCCCCCTCTTTTATTTTTATTTTTTGTTCAGAAGCGCGTGAAAGAGCGTGTCCCTGCACGCGCTCGTGGCGCTGATTGTGCTATGGCGACATTTTGTTTTCGTCGATTTCTTTGTATTTTCCCCGTGAGCGCGTGCTGTCGGCATCGGGTACTACAGAGGGTGGCATCACCCTAAACAGAAAGACATTGAGGCACCCTAGGTATTACAAGCCTCTTGAACAAGAGCATGAATAGTGTTATTAAATAAGCTACGCTTCAGAGTAGCCACGCTTGGCCTTAGTATGGCTTAAAATTATGGTTGCCAGTTATTTGAAGCTTTATCTGAAATCACAAGAAACGCTTTTCCGTCCCCCACTTTAAACAGTTTGCGACAAAGCAAAGCAACATTACATGAGCTTCCTAACACCAAATCTAATGCTGACGATGTCGCACTTTTGAATCATGACGATCGGCAGTTGCGCCTGCTCTGCACAAGCACCAAAATGGCGGCGTTCACAACACTGTCGGGGAAGAGAGTGCCGATACTCTAAGCGCAGCTCATTTATTGGCTCTAGTTGCCGCGAAACTCCTTTTCCCTGACTGAAACTGAAAGTAAATATGAATAATACACCATTATTATAGCTTATTTAGTTATAACCAAATACACATAATGAGAGGAGGAAGCGGGCGGGTAGGAGAAACGCGGGTTTTATACGCGACCGTTCTAACCGTCTCAAAAGAGAGAACGCACGAGCTTGCGCTGGTTTAGAAAAAAAGGCATCCAAAGAAAAGAGGCGGCACACTGTGTTCTTTGTTATTATGCGTCTAATTGCAAATTGTTGTGTGTATGTTTATTCAGCCGGAAGTTAGTCTGCCTTAGTGGGCGTCTGGTGTTTTAGCTGTAGATGAGCAATTTAGCCAGTGCGGTACAACCGAAAACCTGGGGTCTTCAACGTGCGCCACGCAGTAGTGATGCACGACCGCACGCCGGTACGATGCTCTTCCAGATCGAAACGGGCAGGGGCGGGCAGGGTTCTGCAGCGCGAGCTTTCGCTCCCAGTGCTCCGATCTGGTGTGCGCTAGACCATGCACTCGGCAACCAACCCCCCCTTGTGCGTCTAATTTATATACAGGTATAAGTATTTGAAGATCGACAATGGACGTCGATCGTCTCGAGGTAATGTGACGTAATAACATTATACAAATTATAAACTGGTTGAAGGACTGAACGATTTAATTTTTCAATTCTTGGATTGTAATATGGCGGCAGCCTATTGTACTTACTGTTGATGAAGAGCAATATGAGGTGACGAGGTAATGATTAAATGATGAGGCTCTATAAGGACGACGACATTAATGGGTGTTGAACCACAACGTACAGTGCCAGACTTGTTTCAAGTATCGTGTACCCAAAAACTTTCTTCACCCGCAACAGTATATGGTAGAATCAATGAGGATGTTGCTTTACAACTGTACGTGGAACAGGAAAACTGCACTGTGCAGAAGCGCGGCTTATTCGTTAATATGAGGGACGGATTTCTAGCATGCATTCCCTGATTGACTACTTGGAACAAATGGCCTCGTTGACGTAACGTGTCCCCGTTCCAAAAGATTCTTGAAGCATACTTATAACCGCAAAGGAGTATGAGGCGAAAAATAAGAAAACGGAGTCTGGTGTGAAAGGTCCAGATCACCACCGTAGCTTCTACTATCAAATACAAGGGCAGTTACACAATACACAAAGAAAGGTTTGTGATTTAATTATATTTACACTTAAGGGCATTGATATCCAACCTATTCAGAGAGATGACACCTCCTGGTCAACCAACATAGAGCCTTTTCTACTCAAGTTTTACATGGAAGGCCAGACTTCCGCTGAAATTCCTCACATAGGCGAGTTGTCCGACCGAATAAACTGCCATTACTCCCGATGTGGGTATCTCTCGATCTTTGTTCGTAAGCGATACTGATAGTATCATGAGATCGAGGGGTGTGGCTATTCTTCCGCCGAATATTGCTTCGGCGGGTTTTTTTCCGTGTAAGATGAGACCGACGCGTGCTGCCGGAACAAGAACCTGGCGATTCTTCACTGAACTGCTTTTTCCGTAAGCTTCAAAAGGGATTTTTTTTTCGTTTCGCACACCATCTTTTCTGCTTGCCCGTTAGTTGCAGGATGGTATGGTGCACTAATGTGATGCCTGACGCCGTTTTTTTTTTTTTTTCTTCAAAAACTTGTTTATTTTATTTGAAGCAAGATTTGGCGCGTTATCAGAGAAAAGTATTTTCGGTAGGGCAAAAGTAGGTAAAAGAGACCGTAGAACGTCAATGACGTGTTTGGACGTCGTGGCAGACATCGTGTAAACTTCCAGCCACTTAGAGTACGCATCGTACATGACTCCGCAGATGTGGATACGTCTCGCCACCCACCGACTGAATAGTGGATCGTTTTCAGTTACTGTTCTAGTCTTTCCACAAAGTTAGCCCAGGTGCCAGGACTTTTGTCGAAAGCGGTAAGTGTTCGAAACGTCGACAACGTCGGTAGCCACGTGTTGTGCTTGAAACTGGACACTTACCAATCGCTGAGAAGAAACTTGCTTGTTCGTCTGCCATGAGTCGTCCGATATCCGGTCATCACCACAACACCACCTCCCGACAAAACTGGTCTTCATTGTCCGCATGTCCATGGTTAGCAATCACGTCAACTTACAAATTCCCGAACGCTCATAACTTGCCGTCGCTAAACGCCGTTCATTCATAGCGTCTTCATTGCAAATAAACGTCTTCCTATATTCTTCTGATGGTTTCCCTAAGCTGTACTTACAACATAATGTGTGTCGGTACTTCCGAAAATATTGCAACGGCGTTTGTTTTCCGGGAACTATAATGTAACAACCTTTACAACATCTTCCGGACCCCGTGAAACACAATATTTCGTGATGTTATTTTAGTCGTCATTAAAATGGTGAGGTAAGTACCGTAAATCGCGAAGCAGTTTACTCGACGTCCGCTTCCACTGGTTGAGTCTACTGAGCGTGCATTCCTGCAGAGGAAATTTTCATTGATAGAATATTGACACGTCAATCAACATTTGATTCCTTCTTGGTAAGATTTATTGCGAAAGCACGTTACAACCGCCGACCGCATCTCCCTATATCAGACAACAATTTATACCCAGCCTGACATTCTCGCATACATCCGTTTGCTGGGCCACGCTACTTGAGCTAGCTGAGCACAGCTGGCAGCGGCGCGAGCAAGGCCACGAGGGGAACGTGATGGTGCTCGAGCCATCCCACTGTGAACCAATGTTTCGGCCACCCACGGGTGCGTGTCGCCATCTATTGGTTGAACTAACGCCTTGTTCAAGATGGCTGCCGTGGGACCGCAGCCTTAAGAACCACCGCACCATAATGCAGGGTATAAAGCCCACCTGTAAAGGATCGAGATAACACATGTAGCTCACTATAGACGCTTTGCAGCAGCTGTGCATGGGCGCCGCCATAAGCGACCTTCAGTTTTTGTTTCCTCTTATTCCGTTCGCTTCACGTCATCATTACCACAGCAGAACAGGTTATTGCGACTTTAGGTGCTACTGCGTCCTTTTCTTCATCATAGACCTCTTTGGAGGCTCATAAACGCCCGCTTCGGTGGCTCGGCATCTCGGTAAAACAGGAGAAGGTCAGCTATGGCGGCTCAATCTGGCGCGTGTGCAAAGCGCCGATTCGCATGGTGCAATTTTTCGTGCGGTTTCGCAGCTGCGGCGGCATGCGTCGTGCAGCTATATACCACCAAGCTTTTTTTCTGTCGCTCGAGCGCCGCCGCCACTTTGAAATCGCGAGTGAAATGGTACGATGTGAATTGGGAGTAATACGGAACGGTATGTCGTGAAATTCAAATATCGAAGACATGTTTTTTGGTGGTTCACAGAGACGAAGCCCTGATGAGCGAGGACGGTACCATAACCATCACAGGTCGCATCAGAGACATGATCTGCCGAGGTGGCGAGAACGTGTACCCCCTCGAAATTGAGGACTTTCTTTACAAGCATCCGGACATCGAAGAAGTGCAGGTATACGAGTCCTCGAACGAGGAAACATAGGATTTTACGTCAAATATATTTCAACGTGTAAGGACTTGAAAGCAACGTCTATAATATGCGTGCATATACGCGGAGTGCAGTGTTCCGAACGAAAGCCCAATAGACCGATCCCACCTAGCGTTCCACGTATGCGTGACTGTAGTTCGTAGGAGGCAGACGCCAGTTCACGAGACAGCTCATGCCGCCTCGTGCTCTGCTCGCGCAGACCTCCAGCAGGGTTGTCGCGCGTGCAGAAAGACTACATCTCCCACGATGCATGTCGGCAGCGGTGGTGTACTCAAACTAGCTGGTGAGATCGGTCTATCACTCACTCATAAAAGGATGAGAACGACGAAAAAAACAAAACGATTTCGGTTGTGCCTCCTCGAGCGCGAGACCTTCGATTATTATTTGGCTTCTCGTGAGCTTCGATCGTGCACGCGCAGGCAAAGCACAGCCGAAGGCAACGGTCGCGTGCTACGGTTCGGGCATCGTAAAGAGACGCCCTGCCGTTTCTCTGCACATTGATAAGAACAGATGGTAACATGCACAAGCATGAGTTTGAAATGATCCGATTGTAAAGCCTCTGCTAAGTTTGACCTCAGGCTTTTTGATACTTTAATCAAATAAGCAAAAAGTACTACGTAGACTCTAGCCAATTTCTTTAATGTGCCCGACGTTTCGAAGCCAGCTCGGCTCCTTGTTCACGGGTGACTGTATATGGGCCCAAAAGTAGCAACCTGTCGTCGTTTTCTTCTCCTCTCTCTTAGCTTTGTTTTCCTCTTCTGTTTCTGTGTGAGGCGCACTTTAGCCCGTGTATAGAGCTGCTTGGAAGCGTTCCGGTGGATCGGTTCAGATTGTTGCTTGTATTTTGTATGTGCCAAGATTCGATTAAGAGGCGCTTTCTCCAGTTTCTTTTTGTGTCGAGGATGGAACTGCTGTCAAAGCCAACGACGTGGCCGGTCTTCTGAGCATGTTCCGCCAGCGCGCTGCCTTGGATGTCTTTCTTCTTTACGTCATACTTATGTCTACGCAGACGTTCGGGAAAGTTTTTCGCTTCCCCCACATAAAAGGCGTCGCATTCGGCACAAGGAGTTTGGTAAATCAGGCCTTAAGCTTTTTCTTTTGGTGGACGATCCTTTGGAAGAGGAAGAAAATGGCCTAGAGTTGAGACAGGTTTATGCGTAACTGCAATGCCGTACGGTCTCAAAACGCGGGCTAGGACCTCGCTCGTGCCATGGAGGTACGGGACGCACATGCGGCTGGAGGTGTTTTTGTTATTGAATGTAGGAGGGTGACGAAGTTGTTTGTATATTTTGTTGACCAATCTCGTGGGGTAGTTGTTTTTCCGAAGGTATCGCTTTATAATATCGACTTCCATCTTAAGTGACTTCTTTGTTAAGCAGACCGTGATGGCGCGTCGAAAGAGCGCCGACACTACAGAGGATTTGTGAGTTGTAGGGCGGTCTGACGAGAAGTTTAGGTAGCGACCGGTGTGCGTTGCTTTCCTGTATACTTGGAAGGATAAATGGTTCCCTGTTTTTTCCACTGACACATCCAGAAATAGAAGGCACCCGTTAGACTCATGTTCAACCGTGAATTGAATGTCTGGATGGATGGAATTGAGATGTTTGTGAAGGCGAACGACTTCGCTGGTCTTGGCAACACAGAAGCAATCATCCACGTTACGTAGAAACGTAGAAACAGAGTCGGTGTGGGAGAAAATGTGCTTAAGGCTTTTTGCTCGATGGCTTTCATTGTGAGGTTGGCTACAGTGACGGACACAGCGGCACCCATGGCTGTGCCACTACTTTGCTTGTAGTAGCGACCAGCGAAAGAAAAGTAGGTATTTGTCAGGCACAGCTCTAGTAGCCGACATATCTCATTCGCCGAGAGGTGTGTTCTTTCAGGCAGAGTCGTGTCGGCCTTGAGTGCCGTTCTGACAACAGACACCGCGAGTCGAATGGGAATACTCGTGAAGAGAGATACCACATCAAATGAAACAAGGCACTCGTCGTCGTTCAATTGCAGGTCCGAAGCGAGTTCGATGAAGTGGGCTGTGTTCTCGACATGTGTGTTGGTCTTCCCCATGAGTGGAAGAAACAGACGATGGAGATAAAGAAACTGGAGAAAGCGGCTCTTAATAGAATCTTGGCACATACAAAATAAAGCAACAATCTGATCCACCGGAACGCTTCCAAGCAGCTCTATACAGGGGCTAAAGTGCGCCTCACACAGAAACAGAAGAGGAAAACAAACCTAAGAGAGAGAAGAAAACGACGACAGGTTTTGTCGTCGTTTTCCTTTGGGCCCCTATACAGTCACCCGTGAACAAGAAGCCGAGCTGGCTTCGAAACGTCGGGCACATTGAAGAAATTGGTTAGAGTCTACGTAGTACTTTTTCTTATTACTTACCTAACCAGGCGGAGTTCCGCCGAAATGTTTACATTTAGTCAAATAAGCCAGGCAGCCGAAGCGGACTGTGCTCAGCTGCGATGCCGCACTCTGAAACGTTAGTGGCGCTGGGACTGAAGCTAAGAGACTGCGTACTCTTTACAAAATTCATCTACCTTCCCGCAAAGCGCCTGGAAAGCGTCGTACTGCCACTTTAGAAGCTGCCACTCTAGAAAAGTACGACGTAATCGCTCCAAACGTCATACTGACTATCATATTGCTGTTTTTGACTTCCTTGGTGAAAGCACTGTTCGACCACCTCGCCATTTCCCGAGGTCCCTCAACCTCACACTGACTGGGTCTCCGGGGCCTTTTTTTATTTATTTCTGAATTTCCCTATGTAATCAAGAAAAGGCAATGATTTCACGTTGACAAAATCTGGTAAATACGGTAACAACTTTCTGTAGCGCCTTCTTACGCGGCTTACTATTTTCTACCAATGTATTTACCCTAACCTATTCTCCTGCGCTTATTGAGTTCTTAGTTACTATTACTAACGACCCCGGTGGTCTCAGGTTGTCGGAGTTCCGGACCGAAGACTCGGCGAAGAAGCTTGCGCATGGATAAAACTCAAGCCGGGAAAGACGACCACAGAGGACGAGATCAAGGAGTTCTGCAGAAGACAGGTGGTGAACTTACGTGTCTACTTAGAACTTCTTTAGCCACAACCTATAGGGAGTATTCACTGGCGGCCATATATGTGTGCACAGCTGCTGAGCGCGTGCTGACGGCGAGCTTCCGCAGTTCTTTTGCAACGTGCACTCCGCACCATCAAGATTGCCGGTCTTACCGGCCCATTAATGTGAGCTCGTTCTGGGCATGCGCTCTAAACATCGCCCTCAAATATGGCGTCCAGTGAATACCCCCTATTACCTCTCCTTTATGAGGAACTCCTTCCATCGACGAAGCATATTGCTTTTTGGACTTCGCGCGGGCTCATCAGGGTGCTCTGGTTCGCCTATTTTTTAAAGAAGTTTGTTTTGAAGGCCTTAAAGGGGTATTCACACGAGGGAGAAATCCCGGGGATTTCTCCCCGGCACGCGCGCATCACGAGATGAAAACGCGAGGCTTTTGCACATCGCAAAGCCTGACGTTTTCGTCGTGGGATGCGCGTGCCGGGGAGAAATCCCCGGGATTTCTCCCTCGTGTGAATACCCCTTAAAGGGACACTGACACCCCCAAAATTTTTGTTTTCTTATTTTTTTTTGGCCAGATGATTTAACATGGTGCCAGGAGACTACCCAGACAATATTTAGCTACAGATCCACGTATATTTTAAATAAAGCAAAAAACTCAACTGCTCAAAACCGAAACACAAGCACGGAAGCTCATGGCCGGAAGTCACGTAACTAAACACTACCGCTTTTTTTTTTAAGTTTAGAGGTTTTTTTATTTCGATTAGTTTTTTCGTACATATCCCAGACATAAAAACAATTGCCCCATTTATTTAACCATGGAATGAAATGACCCGGAAGCAACCCATTGCCGCCAGAGGTCTTGGTCATTTGGAAAGCGATGGAATTTGAAGACATCGCGGCCGTTTATATAGTTGCCTCGTCGGATCCCGTGCGTGATACAGCTGTCCTCCGAGAATATTCTGCGCTTTCGGTTGTCATTCGTGCAGCCTACTACTGAACCACGATGCCCCGATGGCCAGGGGATTGTCGTCATTAAATCAGCTAATTCAAAATAAACCTGGAAGTAAAAAAAAAAAGGAGAAAACCGCGAAGAAAACGAGGGAACTTAAAGCAGAAAGAGTTAACGGCGTTCATCCGAGCCTTCCGCTCGTTCCTAACCACTCAGTAGAGGAGGAAAGCGCCGGCGGCCCTTTTCCCCTTTTCTCTTTTGTCCTCTTTCGGGAAAACGGTGAGAACGACAGGCAGGAGCTTCGGTTGTCGCGTCTCCAGCGCAAGCTTCCTACCTTCGACAAGTCTTCTTTGCCCGTTGCACCTTCGAGGGCCCTCACGCAACCAAAACACGGCGGAAGCCGCGGGGCGCCCTGCTGGAGGCCGGGCGTTCCAAAGACACGCCCTGCCCTTCTCAATCTGTCGACGACAGCGGCACGAGTGTAGCCGCTCAGGATTCGCAGTGGCCGATTATTGCAACGGAGAAGCTACCGCGCCGTTGCACCAAACTACTCCCTATATTCTTAGACTCGAAATACGTAATGATATTATATATATATATGGATAGCTACTGATGACGAGGGAAATGTCCAACAGTATTCCAACAAAAGTTATGATTGAAGAAAAAAAAATCATTTTTATTCCTCTACTTTTTCTCGGCTTCCTTATCCATTCATTCGCACTCTGCAAACTCGGAAGAAAGTACGATATTTTATTATTTTTTTTATCGCTCAGACAATTATTCTCGCCAGGTCTGGCTTTCTTGGGAACAGTTTACACCTAGTCGTAGAGTCTGAACCCTAGCGAGAAATGCAGAAATGCAACATTAATTCCAACAATTAAAGCAGTATTTCTTTTCTTGCTTGTTTTACAGATCAGCCACTTCAAGGTCCCAAGGTACATTCTATTTGTGGATTCCTTTCCCAAGACTATGTCCGGGAAAATTCAGAAGTTCAAGATGGCGGAAGAAAGTCGGAAAAAACTAAATTTATAACACCCTTCTTGCTTTAGATTACGGGCTTCATATTAAAATAGAGAACGCGTGGCTCTTGCACTATTCTTCACAGAGTATTTTATCTTGATTTTATCAAAACCACGGTGTAACACAAACGCAAACGAGTTCTAAATGTATCTCTTATGAGAGCTTCATAGATTAGAATATATACCTTAAATAAATTTTGACTTTAAGTAATAAATATTACGCAAGGATAACCAAGCGCGGTGTTGAACCGGAGTGCACGAGACGGTGATTCGCAAATTTCTAAAATGCAGCTTTTCCTAAAAATTGAGATCGTAATAGACCGGTCTTGGCAGCCAGTTTGACTACGCCACCGCTGCCGCAATGCATCGAGGGAACTTTAGACTTTCTGCACATGCGACAACCTCGCTGGAGCTCTGCGTGGGTGTATTAGCGCCGAGATGTTTCGGTGGCGCCCTCTTATGGTTTCCCTCCATGACGTCACGACTGAGATTTGCCTCGCCGTGACGTCACCAGTTGTTATTCTGGCTACTTACCATCGGGGGCGACGACGAGTTCGATGGTGTGTTTAAAAAGCACAGTAGAAGCTGGGAGCCATCGCAATCCGAAAATAACACCGTCAAAGTTGACAATCTGAGAGTGCTCATATGCCCATGGTTTGGCCAATCGTGGAAAGCTGACCACAGCGACGCTTTTGGCCGCGCACATCGCTAATAGAGCACGAGCCGGCACGAGCCCTCGCAAGCACGGCCGCCTGCCTCCAATGAACTTCAAGTTCCTGGACCGAAGTCCTACCACCAGCGATGTTGAGCATCCGCACATGAAATGCAGCGCCGCTGAATTGGTTGAAGTGATTAGATCCTTCAACTAATTTATTTTACAGTATTTACATAATTACAAATCTTAGGCATCTGTAACTGCGTTGGCGGGTGCTGGAGTTCGTCGAACCAGTAGCTGGATCCGCGAGCCGCATTTCACACCCCAGCTTGTCTTTTTCCTCGGCGCCTTGTTACCAGTCGCTACAAACTAAAGTTACATGGTGGCGCCACGCATACGCCGAACGCTTTTTGAGATCGGTGTATTCATTATGTGATGCATCACAATATCCCCATATTCAATGTGCGTATTGGAGAGATGTAGCTCGGAGCTGCGGTAAGATCCTGTGCAGGTGGGTTTCGTTTGGCACATACCAAGACGGGAATGAAGATTTTTAGAGAAGAGATCTGGAGGAGGGGAGGGGAGGGGAGGGCGTATTCAGGCCCTCTTCACCGAGCGGTGAAAGCTCGAACCACGACTGGCATCTGGAAAGGAAATTGGGCTACCTCTTCAGCCTCCACCGCGCATGAGTAGAGGAGGCAGGATATGTAACTCCACTCTGTTTTCAGACGCCAATTGGACTTGGAACATTCACCGCTTGGGGGCGTCACTTTTGTCAAAGAGTTCAATTTTCAAATGGGACTCTCTTTCCGGGGGTGCAATACGGTGGACAGCGGGGCTCTGGCCGCTGACGGAGCACCGCAAAGCGGCTTCTACGGGTGGGTCAGGTGGGTTAATATTTTTAATGAGACATCCGCAGACTGTCGCCGCGAAGCGGCATAAACTGAAGGGGGGGACGGGGGGGGGGGGGGGGGGGGGTTAACACGCGCCCCAGTGATACAACCGCCGCCCCCACTGCGTCCCCAAAAGGGACGACTCTCGACAAATAGAAAGACCCGTGCCGCATTCGAAACGTCTAGAAGCATGCGCACATATGTTCGGAGCATTATAGCAGTTGCGTGCTCACAATACCAACAGCGTCTTCTGCATTCCACAAACGTCACATTTCAGCGTATTTAAGAGTATTGCATGAGGGCGCACCGCTGCAATTTTTTTTTTCTTTATTGGTCACAATGTGCAGCATACAAATGCCATGTCAATATTCATACGAACCGCCCAAAAACTCATGGGCTAACTAAAAGTCCTTCATATGTTTACACAATTCAAACAAGTGTGCCCAGTCAGGCGCTGTGTCAGGAGTCCTGCAGTACACAGACTGGACCTGAGTTACCACATCAATAAAATGAAAACGTGCCTGTTTAACGTGCGGGTCTGCATGACGCAGTTCCATTCGGGTTTTCCATAGACTAAACAGACCCAGGACTATAAACATATCATAGGGGACCGTGTCCCCTTTATCGACTGGCAGGAAACGAACTGTTTCGTGCGTTATAACCAAGTCCTTTTTCAACGTTCTCAGTAGTATGTCCCAAAAGAAGACCGCGTCCCAACAATAAATGAAAATGTGCTCTATTGTTTCTGGCGTCTTGCACAGGAGACAATCAATCGACCAAGGAACAAAAAGACCCTTTTTCTCCAACCATGGTTTGACAGGCAAAGTACCGCTATGAAGTTTAAAGAAAAAAGATTTGACAACGGGCGGGACAGCCATCTTTTTGACACGACACAACACATCTTGTCCCGGACAATGGCTATAAACTGAGCGATACAGGGGCGTGGGAAAAAGAATTTCAACTAAATCCCTTGACAACTTCTTTTTCTTGACGCTATTAAGGTATTCCAGAGAAAATCGCGATTGTAAAAATAAAGCAGCATCCTTCACTTCTTTCAAAAATCCGACCAGACTCAGAGGTTTACCACAATCACTGGTAACTAACATGGCGGGCAGGGAATTAGCTAGTTTCATCTGGATAACAGTGCGCAGAAACGGGTGGTTCTGATCACGCAGAAAACAGAAACGTGAAACTAGTTGTCTAACGTACAAGTGCGTGAGTCCCAGTCCCCCGGTCTTGACGCGGCGAAAGAGGTTGTCTCTTCGCATCCTCTCCCAGCTGGATTTCCGTATAAAAGTGGCAAAAACTCTATGAAACCTTTGGATGCTTATGCGTTTACATGCCAGAACCTGTAAAACGTACCATAGCTTCGCTATGACGAAGAAGTTGCATACCGTGGCACGGGTGAAAATAGATATATCTCGAGTAACCCACGTGGCGGTCTTTGATTTTAAATTCTCCAAAACTTCGGTCCAATAGGGTGTGCCGTCCTTGTAGTGTTGTAACGGCACTTCGAGATAGGTGGTTGGAGTGCTTGTCCAGTCAATTCTTGCAAAAGACAATGGCTTTGAGGTCCAGTTGCCGTGCCAGAACCCGCAACACTTCCCCCAGTTGACCGCGGCTCCTGTGGCATCACAATACTCATTTGTGATCTTCACAGTTTCCTCTATGCTTTCTTTATCACTGCAAAAAACGGCAACATCGTCCGCATATGCTGATACTTTAACTTCCACCGTGTTTAAGGTGAAGCCTCGAATACTTTCGCAGGCTGCAATTTTCAGGCAAAAAGGTTCCAAGTATAGTGAGAAAAGTAGAGGCGACAAAGGACAGCCCTGTCGCACCGATGTCTTGACTTCTATGCGTCTTGATAAAGAATTGTTTATTACCAGTCTTGCACCACAGTTATCATAAGCCATGGTCACGCCTTCCAAAATTACGTCCCCGACATTTACGTGTGATAAAATCCGCTTCAGCACGTCGTGCCGAACCCTATCGAAAGCTTTTTCGAAATCCAACTGAATCATGGCCACGCGGCTACCCCCCACTGTTTCTAAAATACTCCTTGCTACGTGTATGTTTGTTTGTATAGACCTCCCTTGTATGCCACAAGTTTGGTGATCTCCAATAAGGTCAACGATGACTTTCTGAAGGCGGCGCGTGAGGACTTTTGTAAATATTTTATAGTCTGTGTTGCACAACGAAATAGGCCTATATCCTGTTACACTGCGTTTTTTGACTTCGTCGTCCGACTTCGGTATAAAAATTGTATGGGCCTCAGAAAATGAACGTGGCAGTTTATGCCTTTTGTAGGCTTCTTGAAATATCGAAAGCAGTAAGGGGCTGACAGATTTTTTGAAACATTGATAAAATTCCGCGCACAGGCCATCGGGCCCCGGCGTTTTCTGTCGCGCTAACGAATCAATAACTAGCTCGATCTCTCCTACAGTTATGTCTCCTTCTAGCCATGTTTTCGCGTCCTCGCTTAGTTGGGGCATGAGAGCAAGGAAGTCATCTAGATTTTGAAAACCTTTAGGCGACCGTTCACCAAAGAGCTTATTATAATAGTCGACAAAGCCTTGCTGAATGACCTCTTTATCCCTGCTTATTGCCCCATTGACCTCAATTTCACGGATTTCCTTTGACAACGCATATTTCTTTTCATCGGACAAAGCTCGCTTGGTGGGCTGCTCCCCCAATAGGTACTTCTCAGACCGTGAACGTATTACTGCCCCTTTGTACTTTTCTTGGTATATTTTGTCTAGCTCTGCTTTAATGTTTCGTATATCTTCCATGCTTGTTCCTGGTTTTTGGCTCTCTAAGCGGTGAAGTGCTTCCAGGTTCCGTTTTAGTTGTTTTTCGCGCTCTCTGCGTTGAAAAAGAATGTTGCTCGATCTTTCGATCGCTACCAATTTCACTTCCTCTTTTAATACTTCCCACATTTCGCCTAAGTCGCCGCCCCTTTTGCTAACGTCACGCAGTAGTCCGTCTACAGTATCAATGAACTTTTCGTCCTTAAGTAGTGTTCTGTTGATTTTCCAGAGGCCCCAATTGAACTTTGAGGCTGCGCTTTCTTTTTCCCCTATTTTAAAGCTTACGAGGCAATGGTCCGAGAAAAAAACTGGTTGGACGCTATACTCACGCACTTGTTGTAATAGGTCACACGATAAATAAATACGGTCAAGACGAGCGTGGGAAGAAGCTTGAAAATGGGTGTAGCGCAGACTATGCGTTGGTGCGCACGATCTGCCTACGTCATCCAGGCCACAAGAGATTACCATGTCTCTCAAAACGCTCACGCTGTTATCACTTATCGCTGTCTGCGAGGACTTATCGCTCTCATCGCAAACACAGTTAAAATCACCCATCAGAACAACTGTTCTGTCACAGTATACGTAACTATGTAGAAACTGAAAAAATTGTTCTCTGTCTCCCGCATTATTCGGTGCGTATACACATATAACTCGCCACTGAACACTTGCCAAATTAAAATCGCATAAAATAAAACGTCCGCGATCGTCTGTAGT